TAGGTTTCCCCGAAGCTTAGTTGTCAGGAGAGGACAGTCTGGCAGGACATGTTCTGGAGTCTGTTCAGCTAGAAAGGCACTGGCAGAGAGCTGTTTGGCTCATACCTAATTCATATGAGTGTTTATTGTCTGCAGTGTCAAGTACGTAAGCGAAAAACTGTAACTTGGTCTGTTCTGTTTAAGTGTTTCAGAAAATCTTTTTCGTAGTAATAACCAGTGTCCAGTCTGTTTCTGATTTTCTCTTAATTAGAGTTTTGACTTCTGGAAAAGATAGTGGCTGGTAGGTCTGTGGTTTGTTACTGCCTTCCTTGGCTAAAGCATCAGCGCTTTCATTGCCTTTGATGCCAAAGTGAGATGGAATCCACTGCAAGTGAAATTCTGCCTTTTCTGACAACATAGCAAGTTTCTTTGTTAGACTTTGCACAATATCCGTTTAGACTACTTTGACTTTCCCCTAAACATGCTGGTTTCCCAGCAATTGTGGACGTCCTCGTTTTTTCAATCAATTTATTTCCAATTTAAGTGTCTGTTTTGGTGGCTGAACACTAGTTAGTTTTAGTTTATTATTATTATTTGAATTTATGCGTATAACAAGAGCATTTATTCTTCTTCTTCTGCCTTTCTATCCCCCAATGGAGAATAGGTCCTCAAATCTTTCGCTTTACATGGAACTCTCCCCATGTCCTCCCTATCTTTCTAACTTCATTCTCCAGCTTTCTTCTCAATGTATTTTTTTGGCTTTCCTTTATTCCTGTGCCCCTGTGGGTTCCACAAAGCATGTATAGGTGTTACCTTTCATTTAGAGTAAACAAGGCAGGCTGAAAAAGAAAGGGGGAGAGAGAGAGAGCGAGAGAGAGAGAGAGAGAGAGAGAGAGAGAGAGAGAGAGAGAGAGAGAGAGAGAGAGAGAGAGAGAGAGAGAGAGAGAGAGAGAGAGAGAGAGAGAGAGATGGATCATGCTGCGCGTTTGGGAAATTATCCTTGATTTGTAATATAGAGAGATGTGAGCTATGAATCGCAAGCCTCCATTAAACACCTTGAGGTTTTGAACAACGGATCAACATCACGGCACACGTGTGTAACCTATAAGTTCTCAGTTCTTCTTCTGACTCAAGTCTGAGTCCGAAGTAGTTCAGCACGGTGTACAGGTTCTGTAGCACCGGCAAAAATCCTGAAATACATTGAGTAGATTTTTGACTCTAATTTTTGCCGTTAGCCTACTCTTTTCGATTTCCAACTGCCAAGGGATTTTTTTTTTACGTCCGCAACAATGCATACAGGCGTTCGATCTCACTAGCCAGAGACCAGGGGAAATTACTAGAGGTCCAAGTGCACGTGAAAACACTTATAAACTTCTTCTCCTCTAGTCCTGAATTGCCTTTGATCATCAGTTTTTGACAAGGCCTCGGTTGAGAGCCTTGGTATGTGCTAAGTAGATGCTGGTATCTACGACCTTGGTTAATTCAGCTATCCATCGTTTCTGTGGTCAATCTCTGGATCTGCTGCCATTATGTATAAGTGACGGGGCTCTGTAAAGGTCATCAAAGTACAACAAATGAAGTGGTTTGGACGCCTAACAAGAATGCCCTGGTACTATCTGACACATAAAGTAACACTAAAACGTTGATACGGGTATAGAGTGAGTAGAAAATATGCAGTGATGGCATTACAAACAGCCTTACAGAAATAAACAGCAGTCTTAATAATGCTCTTGACAGAGCTCATCAATGACTGTTACATTCTCCCCCACTCCCCCCGACAATTCGATGAGGTACAAGGCTGAAGAGCGGAAGAAGAAGAAGAAGAAGAAGAAGAAGAAGAAGAAGAAGAAGAAGAAGAAGAAGAAGAAGAAGAAGAAGAAGAAGACGGGGCTGTCTGCGTGATTATAACACTATAGTTTGGAAAGACTGAAATGTGCCAACAGTAATCTTCGTTTTCTTCATCAATATCATCATCATCATCATCATCATCTTCTTCTTCTTCTTCTTCTTCTTCTTCTTCTTCTTCTTCTTCTTCTTCTTCTTCTTCTTCTTCTTCTTCTTCTTCTTCTTCTTCTTCTTCTTCTTCTTCTTCTTCTTCTTCTTCTTCTTCTTCTTCTTCTTCTTCTTCTTCTTCTTCTTCTTCTTCTTCTTCTTCTGCTTCTTCTTCTTTATTCACCGGCTTTAAGTTCCGATGGAAAGTCCTGGTTGTTCCGGCATTGGTACGGTGCCTTTGGGGCAGGGCCTGAGTTGTGCGTGCACATCCATTTTACTGACTTACTTGTGTGCAGCTGGTTGTTCCTTGCCGCTCGGAAAGAATGCTCCAAATTAATATCCGACGACTTGCTTGTTCGGGAGACAGTGGGTCTATTCTTGTTTTCCCTACAATAGGGCTTCAGAACCTACACGGGGAACAATAGTCAATGACACTCACCTCTTTAAAGGGAAACATCTTCAACTCCAGGGCATCTCTGGCCTCTTCAAATGAAACTTCTGCATCCCACTTTATATCTGTTCTTATGTTTAATTCAGAATCTAGGTGCTGTCAAAATAAAGTAGAAAATATGCAACACTATTTAAAGAGTTACATTGAATAAAAGTGGATGCATACACAGTTGAATGTTGAATTGAGAATCGACATCACAGCACTCCAGATACTCCCCATCTTCAGCAGCAAGCGAAAAGTTCAAATTCTGATGGTACCGGTTACCCTCTTATTGTATACCCGTCTCATCCTTACCCTAAGTGTTGAACGTCTGCCAGATCCCCTAATAACTCCTCGCAGCGCCATTCTCCTTAGACCATAATGATCTATCTGCGCCTCCGCACTGTTTACTAGATCCCAAAAGGCCCTCACAATATCTAATTTGTCTTACATCAATTCCCCACCAAGTGGTGCAGAGCCAGCCAGTCTATCTGCCTGTTCATTTCTCAAAACACCAGCATGACCTGGAGAAATATCGAAAGGATGCTAATTCCTCGGGACCTCTGAAGTGATGCTTGCCACTCTGCACGAAGCATGCCTGTTTTCCCCTTTCTTAACATGCTCTGTGATTCAGTTACAATCACGGCATGTGTGTACAGCTGATTCTCAAGCCAGCGGAAGGCAGCAGCGACTGCCTCCACCTCTTTTCTCAAACTAGACGTTGTGAAATCATATGCCAGTCTTTGCTGCACCAGGCGACGTCCATTCGCTTTTGCTAAGAAACCCATTCACTTCGTCTGCCCCTCAACACAGAGCCATCTGTATGAATAATCACATCACCTTTTTGGGAATTGTCATGAATCATTTGTTGAACTTCTGATTCTGCAGCACCAGTCTCTGCACTCACAACCTAATGTGATTAGAACCCTACACATTAAGTATTACGTATTTTGTACTTAATATACTGTTGGAAAGAATAGCAATGAGGTTCGTTGTATAACGAATGAAAGCTAATGAAACACTACTTAGTTGCATTGTTTTGCATAGTCTTCTTACTTTTAGGTTTAACCGATGATAATGACATACATAATCCGGTTCTCCATCTAAATAGTTATTTTGACATACATAATCTGGTTCTTCATCTAAACGGTTTTTCGACAAACATAATCTGGCTCTGCATCTAGACGGTTTTTTTGACACACATAATACATACATAATACATGGATGGCCTTATAAACAGCTAACAGCTACAGTGGGCTGTGACAAAATCACACTGCAAGGATGCATACAGAGGCGATGATGCTGATAACATTGAACCCCACCTGGTTCTGCATCTAGACGGTTTTGTGACATACATAATCTGGTTCCGCATCTAGACGGTTTTGTGACATACATAATCTGGTTCCGCATCTAGACGGTTTTGTGACATACATAATCTGGTTCTGCATCTAGACGGTTTTGTGACATACATAATCTAGTTCTGCATCTAGACGGTTTTGTGACATACATAATCTGGTTCTGCATCTAGACGGTTTTGTGACATACATAATCTGGTTCTGCATCTAGACGGTTTTGTGACATACATAATCTGGTTCTGCATCTAGACGGTTTTGTGACATACATAATCTGGTTCTGCATCTAGACGGTTTTGTGACATACATAATCTAGTTCTGCATCTAGACGGTTTTGTGACATACATAATCTGGTTCTGCATCTAGACGGTTTTGTGACATACATAATCTGGTTCTGCATCTAGACGGTTTTGTGACATACATAATCTAGTTCTGCATCTAGACGGTTTTGTGACATACATAATCTGATTCTGCATCTAGAAGGTTTTGTGACACACATAATCTGGTTCCGCATCTAGAAGGTTTTGTGACACACATAATCTGGTTCCGCATCTGGATGGTTTTACCTTCTTCTTCTTTGCGTTCACCGGCTGTAAACTCCGACGGAAGGTTGTGGTTGTGAAAACACCTCTGGACATTACACTGTTTTCCAAAACCTGAGTGTTGCCTGCACATCCATTCTTCATATTTGACTTATTTGTGCGTGGACTGTTGGTTCTTTGCCTCTCATGCAGATGCACTCCGACTTCGAAGGAAACTCCCATTAGTCGACTCTTACGACATACTTGTTGGGCAGGGAGTGGGTCTACTCTTGTTTTCCCCACAATGGGGTCCCGGAATCACACAGGGAAGACGGTTTTTACGACACTCATAATCTGGTTCTGCATCTAGACGGTTTTTACGACACTCATAATCTGGTTCTGCATCTAGACGGTTTTTACGACACTCATAATCTGGTTCTGCATCTAGACGGTTTTTACGACACTCATAATCTGGTTCTGCATCTAGACGGTTTTGTTGTTGTTTGTCTTTGTTTTGCAGCTGTGTAGCCGGAATATCCCTTTTGAAGGAGACATGTAGTTTGTGCGGCTCAGTGCCTTAGACATCAGCCATTGCGTTGTTTCCAACGGCGGGCTGTTGAAAACTGTTTTGTGTGGTTTTCGGACAATGTGATGATATAAAATGTTATTATTTCAATGGCACTAGGCTTAAAAATGCATTTTCTCGTGGGTAGCACTAGAATTTACCTCTGTGTCATGTACTTGTTCCACCTCATGCAGTCTCTGAGGCGTGGAAGGACCAACGCTGACAAGCTCCATCATTGGAAGATAGCCAATGTTCACAACAAAGTCAGAGATGCCTTTCTCCATCCATTCCATGTCTTACACAAATTATGGAGAAAAAAAAAAAAATGTTAGTCGAAACCAGAAGTGGAACTAGTCAACTACAGTCATGAACAACGAAATTATTGTTGCAGCTAAAAAGAATTCATTAGCATACGATACAACGGAACAATGATACTTGTCGTTGGGTCACTTGTTTCTGTTGACTGTCAGATCATTCCTCTCCACCTTTTGGCGGTCAGTTGCAATGGACTTCATGGTTGCATGCTTGAGGCCTGTCCAGTCAGTCAGGTTCTGTAACCAGGTCTTCCTTGGTCTGCATCTTCTCCTCTTTCCCTCTGATACAATTACACGTAAGAATGCATAAAACAAATTATTTTTACCGAGCTAGCGGGAAGAGGAAATGTACAAAAATCAGTGCACATATTCTATAACCTTATGTGGTTGTAACCACATCTCCTATGCTCCACACGCGGTTTCATTGATAAGGAAGAACCGAATGCTGCCTCTAAAAAAAGATACAGTCCTTGCTAACAAAAGCCAGGCAAAGGCAAATTTTACAAGTGACACACTCGCTAATTGCTTTTAGAGATTATTTTAATCTCCGAGTTATGTAACAGCCGCCTGACCAAGATATAAAATCAGCAAACAATCTGCTGCAGAGCGTAAAAATTTTCTCAATGAAATGAAGTAATCACCGGAGACAATGGGTCCAGTTTTCCCACAGGCAGACGGAAAATATCCTCTGGAGTGTGAAACTCATTGTAAACTTGATTGTTACTTACTGTTAACTGGTTTGTTTTTTTAAGAACGGATCAACATCATGGCACACGGGTAGTAACCAATAAGTGCTCAGTTCTTTCTTCTAACTCAAGTCTTAGTCCGAAGAAGCTCAGCACAGTCCACAGGCTCTGTAGCACCGACGAGGATCCTGAAATACTTAGGGCAGAAATTAAACTCCACATTTTTCGCACCGTCAGAGGTTGGCCTTCTTCAGCATTCCAAGCCCTTGAGATTCATTGCTGCAGATATCACACGCCTCCATTTATCTCTCTAGTTGGCCTTCTTCTTCCAGTTAGCGACACCAAGTGTTTGCAGGTCTGCCTGGACATTATCTCCCCATGATCTCTGTTGTGCTCTGCCCAAAATCAGACCAAAAATAGCAGGTGTCACCAAGACAAAACAGTTTCAACCATCACACTGATATTTGGACACTAAATTACCGGTTGCTGGTGATTGCGACGTTTATGTTATTGGACACTTTGATTTTTGTGGATGTTTTCCCAAGAAGTTCTTATTAATTGTGCTTGGGATTTGTATTATTATCCCCTTTTGAATTGGTGGAAAGGGTGGAAAGGGGGGGGGGGGGTGGCGTGGGGGTCTTACAGTGAATTGAATAGGGCGTCACCTGAAAAAGGGCTTAAAAACCACTGCACTTGAGATTTAAAAAAATGGGTTAGTCTCCCCATGCCCCGCCCATATACACACTAGCTCACTTCTGATTGGTTGTTTCTGAGCCCCGTTACCTTTACACACTGTTGCAGGGGTGTTCCGCAATGCCGTTGATATCGCGTGGTGTATATTTCAGCACGCCAGCGCTTTTTTACTCTCCAAAAACACGAAGAAACCGGGTCTTAGAGAACCCCTCCACTAGAGGTTGCTGCAACCTATGTCACAGGCATTCTCTTTCTCGGAATGAAAACGTAAATGCAAGACATCGCGGAAACCAAAGAACATAGCGGGACACACCCATAACCTTAAGGAAAGTTGATAAACTTGTGAATGAGTTGAGTTGAGTCAAGAATTGAAGAATTGACATCGCAGCCCTCGGGACATTCTCATGCATGCTCCGTCCTCATCTTTAGCAGCCAGTGCAGAGTTCCAATGCTGATGGTACAGGTCACAATCTGGTTAAAAGTCCGTATTGCCTTTCATCTGAGTGTAGTGAGCCGGCCAGACCCTCTGGTTACACCCACGTGCTTTATTCTCTCCAGCCCATAATAATCTTCTTTCTCTACTGATTCCGTTGCTTGTTCCCAGAGTGCCTTGACCACATCTGCCTTGTCATGTAACAATTCACCACCCTGTGGTGCGGATCCATCCAATATGTCTGCCTGTTAATTAACCACCATGATGCCTCGCCTGGAGAAAAGATCCAAACTATGCTAACTACCCATGACATTTCCAGCGAAGCTTGCCACTCTGCTCAAAGCATTCCTGTCTTTACCTTTTTCAGCATGCTTTCAGAGTCTGTTACAATAACGACTTGTGTGTGCATCTTGTTCTCTAGCCACCGGAGAGCTGCAGTTACCGCCTTCACCTCCATTCTCATGCTAGATGTTGTGGTGTATTTGTGAATGAAAGGTGACCTACTCTATTTTGAAAGACTAACGACGACTAACCA